CTAAGTCCCTTCTAAGGCACATCTGAAATATATTTTTCCAGCCTATGCCGACATTCCTAGAGTGACAGATATTTCTTCATCTCCCAAGATGTTTCATTTCTGGACCAGTTTGATCATTAGAAGACTCTAATATTGAACCAAGAAATCTCTCTCTCTTTCACCATTGGCCCTTCAAGGGCAAAGATTCTGTAATTTGATCAACAGGAAGTATTTGAAAATGGCAATAAGCACATTCACATTCTTATTTTCTAGGCAAAAAATTCTCTCAATATCCTATATTTCTGCACTCCTTCCTAATTTGCTGATGTGTTGTTGGCTTACTCTGAACCACTGGAAAACACTAACCTTTACTACTTACCACCTCCTGGCTGCTAAAGTTGACATACTGGATCTTCCGGTTCCAATCCTAATTGTTTCACTTCTATCTAACTAGCTTAGAACACTAAACCTCTGTGTCACCTTAATATGTCACTTATGAAAAGAGAGATTAATAATTTGATAAGACTAGATTTTCAAATAGCTAGTCATAACTGAATAGTTAATTTCTCCTTGACCAAGTCAAAAATTAACTTTTATATTGCTTAGTATAATTTGTTGGTCTGGACTAAAATCAAGAGACCTGAGTTTTGTTCTTCTGCCTTGGTGAGTCTCAGTTTTCTTATTTGTAAAATGAGGGTATTAACGGTCTCTAAACTCTCTATTTTTTAACCTCTGTAGGAATGCTAGTATCCACTGTTGTAGAACAGGAAAACTACTTACCTTACTATGTAGACATATGTCAGAAAAATTATTAGCAAAAAAAAAATGTTATGAGAGAATTCAAATCACCTGTGCTTCATATTGAGTGGCTTCAGTGGATTAAAAACTCTGTGCAATATAAACATACAAGGAGTACCCCCCAAAATGGAATTTATTTATAAAAGTGTATTTATTCTTATGTTTAAACTTTAGTCACCTTCAAAGTGTTCTCCATTTGATGCAATACACACATATGGAGACCATTTTTCCACTGCTCAAAATGGTTTTGAACTCATCAATTTTGAAGCCTTTTAGTGCTTCTGACATTTTTATCTTCCACATCAGCAAAAGGTTTCCCTTTGAGGACTTTTTTCTTCTGGAGAAACACACAAAAAAAGTCACTCAGGGTGAGATTGGTTGAATAGGGATAGTGGGGCACTGAGGTCATGCTGCTTTGCTCAAAAAGTGCTGAACACTCATCATGGTGTGGACAGCTGTGCTTGTAAATCACCCGTTATGAAACAGGCAAACACACTGAAATTCTTCCAAAAAAATTCAGTGAAGCTAAACACAGCCTCTCACAATCACACCAGCAGGTACACTGATACAGATGGGTTCCTAGATCACTCAACTAGTGGGGGAAGCCTGTACTACAAGGGGTCCACCCTCCAGAAGATAATTCAAGGGTTCTTTTGGTGGGTCCCCCCCCTTGTATGTGTGTACTAGTATATTATATAGGGTATAGTAATTGAAATGGTATACAATAGGTTAATATGAACAGAAGGAGAAAGCTGGATACAATAAGATTGAACTATAGTCCATATAACCCATATAAAATTTTCAGCATTTGAACACAAGAACTGAACAGTTCAGCAGATAAAATTATTCTCTTTTAAGCAGAACCCAGATCAAGGAGAACACATTGCCCGCTACTGCCTTCTGGAACTTTTTTCTAAGCGTAAGTTATGCCCCATAAATTAACAGTATTCTTTACCAAAAAGAATGTGGATTTCATTTTCTCTATGTGCCATCTAAACAACACTCTTTAAAAGCTGAATAATAATGGACTCCTGTTGAGTGGCTTAATTTTAGGAAGCATCAATGTTGAAGGTGGACCAAAAAGCATATTCTATAAGATTTAGAATACAATGTAATTGCTCTCAATATCTAAAGAGCAATGCTGAAATGAACTGGGTATGAATACTTCAAGACCTTGAATAAAGCAACCCAGCTGCTCATTGTACTTCATTAGAGCGTACAACATAACTTTATACCTCCCAGTTTGACTTCTGGAAAATCTACATGGTCTGTATATCTGTTTGTTATTTGTTTTTCTCCTGATTTTCTCTCTTTGGGGTAGGGGGGTTTGTCACATTTATTTCATACATCTTCCTGTACAATCCATGAATAGCAGTACTGTTTATCAATTATATTTTATTGATGTGGAAAATAAAGATGACATCAAAAAGTTGGCCACTGATTTCCTTTCTTTTGAACTGCTCAGAGCCCTAATTATTGGTTGGCTTCTAACCTACAGTTGCAAACACCTCTTCAAATACCTTACATTCTCTCTTAACTGTGAAACCTCTTTTCACACAAACACTGACCTCTACACAAGACAGTCAGGAGACAGAAAAGGTACCTGTGGCCCCTGCTTATGTTTCTGAAAAGGAAATCAAATATGTCACCAAAGAACATAAGCATTAAGTGATATAAAAGCAGCAATTCCATGTAGGATTGTTTGCTTCTTGTATTTGTCCAATGTGGTGGGGAGCAGTGGTAGCACTATGAATGTAGAGAGAATATTTGCATCAAAGATATGCAGCATATGATCTGCAGGGTGTCTGGGCATAAAAGAAGAGACTATCTAGAAGGTTAAACCAGACAGGATGATAAGCTCAGACTGAAGTAGAACCTCGTAAAATGCAATATAAGAGCAGAGCCAAAGGTACCAGACAGGGCCAATAACCTTATTTGCCAGGGATTGGAGCTCAGTGACTAATCTGGAAGGATGCTTAAGGTAATGCAAAAGTCTCAGACACAAAGTAGAACTTCTAAGGAAACCATTTCTTTAAGGCAAGGATAGGAGGTTTTTCACATTGTTCTACGCAAGGTGCTTACATGTGGGCAATGACAGTTTATCAGATGAGCATCTCTCAGTGTATGTGCACCCAAACTGAGTGGGCTGTCTTCTCCCTCCAAAACACTGCTCTTTGGTGTCGAGGATATCTAGACCTAGGGATTATAAATGATTGCTTTTGATTTCATGTGGCTTACTTCAACTGTGAAAGCTAAGTATCTATCACTTAAATTTCTCTTGAGTTCTTGTATCTCTGATCAATTTCTTAGGAAGTGTGCCCTTAATGGGCAACCATATCCTGCTCAAGGCACAGTCTGTTCTTAATATAATGTTAGGGCTCAGTCAGAGGAACTGATTCCTTTGTTTTGGTAAGAATTGTTTCCTTTGTTGTGGTAAGTTCTCTATATTAGTTCCTATGTGCACCTCTATGTAAGGAATCACTGTGTGGGCCAAATATTCCTTTTTCTAGGTAGCTTATATGCATTTGGATAAATTTACACTAGAAATTCAATTAACTATTAAAAGGTCAATTAACTTGGCCATGATAGAGATTGTTTATAATTACTTTTCCTTGGCAGTCTTCCCTTCTTTTCCAAGTACAAGGGACACTATCAAATGATAGTATCATTGCCTCTTGGTTGCCTGAAACTCATATGCAAAACACACTGGAAGTGACTATCTTGGTTGAATAAATTAGTAAGACACTCTGGGCAATTTACTACTCTTATAATTGCCAGGACTTAAAATACCAACAAGCAACAATAAAATAATTTTAGCTCAAACATTCTCCTTAAGATCGTTCATGACAATATTCTTTATCATTTGTCTTTGTTTTCTATTTTCTTGGTAAAAGTTGATAATAAATGATTTTAGCACTGATTACATTTTAACACAGTGTATTTAATGAGAAATGAACAAATAATGACATAAAAAAGTAGTTGTCCCATTCCATTAGCATATTCTTAATTATCTTTGTGTTATGTGGGCAAACAATTTACTCATTCTTGTGGTGCTAAAACTCTTACACTTAAGAGACTCAAAAATTACCACTTGTCACTATGTAACATCCATTTGTTACCAAGTGCTAATACTAAGCAGTGATTGTTTCAAAAAAAATAATAAAGAAAGACAAAGTAGGAGGGAGGGGGAGACAGAGAGGGAGGGAGATAAAAATAATATATATGACTGTATTTTATACAGTCATATATTAACTTCAACCTCCAGATGACTACCAACTTAAAAATAAAGCAAACAGAACTCAAGAGCTTGATATGAGGCTAAGTCTGGAGATGAAATTTTTTGTTTTGATTCTGCAGAAGGGAGCAGCCTGTACCTTATAGGAGCAGTAACAATGTGCTAACAACTTTATAAATGTTATCTATAGAATGCTCACTACTACTCTATGAGATATGATTCCTTGTTCCCATTTTATTGATAAGAAGACTGAAGCCTATGTTTCAGGCAAGGTCACATAGTTCATTGGTGGCAGAGTCTGAAACTACATCAATCTGCCTTTCCAGATTTTCCCTTTTCTCGTAAGATAAATGCACGGGCTCTAATAGTGATGCCATGAAAAACTTATAAAAGGGGGCTGAGGAGTGTGCTGAATTCTAAGAGGGCGGTTTTGGAATTGAATCAGAGGAAGGGCATGGTTTAGGCAAGCACAATTCAAAGAGCAGAGCCACAAGAGTGTAAATTAATTATGTCATTAAGCATATTTTCCTCATAGCAATACTTTTTCAGTGATGGGAGCTGTGTGTTTATTCACATTCAGTCCATGCTTATCTCCTCATGGACTGCAAGTTTGCAAACCAGCAGCCAGTCCACAGACCACATTTTAAGTGGGACAAGCCTAAGAAATGTCTTATGAAATTTTCCTTTTTTGTGAAGCTAAATCATTTTGGATAAAAGTTAGCCAAATATATTCTATACGCTTTTCCATTTCTAAGAAAGAAAGCTACATCTTATCCTCTTTACAGATATTAATGAAGGTTGATGTCCTAAACCCTATAAATCTATGGGGTCATTAATCTTAGTTGAAGTGGTGCTGCTCTTTCTAAGTAAGCTAATCTCTTCCAAAGGTAGCTTTCTAAATAAACAAAACAAAACAAAACAGGACGATATTACCATCAAATAACACGGTGTTTGGAATGAAATACAAATTTTAAAATGTTATTCATACCTGCACCTCCGCCAATGCTTAGAATCTTAATTTCTGACTTTTTATCTCCAATCCTGAAAAAAAATTATGTTGTTTAAGAAAAATGTACTAAGTGCTTTGGGAAAATTTTATCACTAAGCCTAGGTGAAAAGGACAGCCTAAAATTATAGTGAACAAAAAGTAGGCCAAAATGAAAATTTCAAATTATTTTAGTAGTTATATTGCTGTCTTTAGAAATATTTAGATATGCAGGTTGCATTCACAAACAATCTTGAACTGGTAGACTTTTAGAAACACTATAAACATCTCAGAGGTAAGGTAAACCATTTGTTGAGAATGTATTGGGAGAACAAGAACAGAAAAAGTGGGTCCTTGAGTCTTGTAATATAATTAGCCATTCATTGTAAATGGGGAAAGGCTGAAGAGATACTATCTCTATAATAGCTGCCTTCTTTCCTTTCTTCTTGCTAGCTCCTTTTCAACAAACAGGTGTTTATTAAACACTTGTTGTATGCATATTCTGAGCATTGAGAATACAAAAATGAGTAATACACTACTTTGCTCTCAAGTGAAATGTGAGATAATAAAGCTCTAGTACTAGAAACTGAGTGAAACTGATGGCCTGGAAACCAACACTACAACTGGCTTTAGGTCAGTGTAAAGGGGTCAGAAAAAAAGTGTTGAGTGCAAAATGCCAGGTTTCCAGCCAGAACGACTTGGTGAAATGTGGTGCCAAAAAGGAAGCTGGAGAATACATCTTGATGGCAAGTTTATGTTTTGTCAGGGTTTTTCTTTTTGTTTTGTTTTGTTTTGTTTTGATAAATCTGAATTCAACAGGCATTTAGGTATGCAAGAGTTAATCTGGGTGAGAGAGATACCAGGATAAACTATGTATTCTGGAGAATTACTGTAATGGTCAAAACTAGGAGAGTAGATTTCACCAACCAAGGATATTGCAAATAGTTAAAACGGCAGTGAGATGATGATGCAATACCAACTTTTTAAAAAGATTTTATTTATTTTTAGAGAGAGGGGAAGGGAGGAAGAAAGAGAGGGACAGAAACATCAGTGTGTGGTTGCCTCTCATGTGGCCCCCACTAGGAACCTGGCCCACAACCCAGGCATGCGCCCTGACTGAGAATCGAACCAGCAACCCTTTGGTTCGCAGCCCATGCTCAATTCACTGAGCTACACCAGCCAGGGCATGCAATATCAACGTTTAAAAGTCACTGGATTATGGGACATACATAAAGAACACAGAGTATAACAGCAAAGCTCAGAGATATGAAAGGAGTAGTAGTGTGGCAGGAAAAGAAAGTCTCATAAAGGTTTCTGTGTTCTGTAGTTTCTTTGATAAACAAGTGCTCTCTGCTCTCTGTAACACCTGCAAGATTTGTCGGGACAAAAGCTGAGTAAAAGTTATTTTTAGGTAAGGAGCCGGGTAGCAGATATTGCTGGGTGACCTTATCCCAAGGCTAAAATGCTGACCTTCGTTTCGCTTCTGCCTCTGTATGCTCCCTTGCTTTAGCAGATGAATCCCCCTCCTCCTTTTTGCCTTGTAACAAGTATTTAAAGGAAACTGTGAGGAGCCCGGATTTGCTCAGAGGATTTGGATGGTTAACCCCCTCTGAGCCCCCGGGTAATAAAGTTTGTGCTTCGTTATCTCCCCGAGTGTGGGTGGATTTTCCGCAACAGTAGAAATGAGAAAGCCATCAGTAGTGTCAAAGGTGGTAAGGTGTACTACTAAAAAATTAAAAAAGAAAAAGTCTCCATTGAATTCAGCAACATAAATATCTTTGACAAATTTTTTCCAGTAGGCTGAGGGCAGAAGTCAGACGGCAGTGGGATTAAAGGTGAAGTGGATAAAGAGAAATAAAGATCTAGAGAGATTGTTGAAATAGGATGAGTGAGAAGAAAAGGGGTGACTGCTAAAGGGGAAACATGAAGTGAAATATGTTTGCTTGTTGGGTTTTAGGATGATGAACAAGTCTGTTTTTTGGCTATTAAAGAGCCTGTGCAGAGTAATAGGATAAAGGCAGAGTTTAAAGCAAGGTTCTTAAGGAAATTGGAAAGTATAGAGTCAAGGACAGTGAGCTGCCTGCCATACTTCTAATTAACTTCTAACTCATAATCGTGAATCTTAATATATCTATTCCTATCTATGATCTTGGTTAATTCTTAAAAATGCTCATATCTGTGGATAGCATAGTGAAGCTATGGATCAGAACACCCACCATGAAATCCCAGCCTACTGATTTGTTACCTTGAACAAGTATTTAATTTCTCTGCATCTTTACTACCTATGAAATAAAAAAAAATACCACCTACCTTATAGGGTTGCAATAATGGTATCTAACACATGGAGTTATGAGAATTAAATGATTTAATCCATGTAAGTCTCTTAGATTGGTATTGGTGTCTTCTCATGACAAGCTCACAACATATATTTGCAATTATTATTATTATACGCACAGCTAAGTGATTTGAATGAATTAACTCTTTGAATCTTCACAACTCCTCTGTGAGTTAGATACTATTACTATCCCATTTCATATATTATGACAGTTAATAATTATTGAAAGCTCACTATTTGGGATCTAAATGAATTATATCAAAAAACAGCAACAAAACTTTATTATTTACAGCTATAAATTGTCATTCTACCTGATTCTTCACCTCAAGATGAAGAATGAATAAACTTACATATATTGACATCTAAGAATCTCCCAGCAAACAGCTGAGTTTATATCAAATTGCCACAGTGAGCCACCCACTCAACAAAATCTTCCCTTATATATACAAGGAGAATCAGAATCACTTTTGAGTGCCTCTTTACCTGATTAGATGGTCAATCAAGGCTTATTAGGCAGTTTGGGAGCTCCCCTAACATGGAAGACAGAGACCAAAACGAGATAAAAATTCAGAAGAAATATGCAGACAGCAGTGGAAATTTTTATAAAAGGTAAAATAAGGTATTACATGTGTGAAAGACTAACAGTGTGCTATAAAAAATAACATTTATGGAAGTTAAAAGTATAATAGCAAAAATTTAATAGAAAGCCTGAAAGATAGAATTGTAGAAAATAAAAATTTAAGAAAATTATAGAATCAATCCTGAAGGTCTGGTGTTTGTTGAATACAAGTTCCAGAAAGAGAAAAAGAGAGGGGAAAAATGATCTAAAAATACCAAAGTTTTCTTGAAGAACCTGAACCTCAACTGAAATGGCCTAAGCAATACCAACAAAAAAAGGGTGAAAAAGACCCACACCACAACTCATTATCTTAAAATTCTATAATGCTAGATATAAGATCCTAAAAGCTTCTAAGTAGGGAAAACAAAAACAAAAAACAAGAAACAACAAAAAGGTGATAAGCCAAAGATGACAAATTTGAATGGTACTGGATTTCTCCACAGTAAATTTAGTAGGTATAAACAATGGAAGAATACATTTAAATGTATAACATAAAATAATGTCAGCATAGAATCATAGACCCAAACTGTCCAAAGATGAGCATAGAGTGAAGGTATTTTTAAACAAAATCTCAAAAAGTTTATCTGTCATACACTCCTTCTTGAGAAGCTATTAAAGGATTAGCTGAAGGTTTAAATAAAAAAGGTGGGGGAGAAGAAAGAAGAAGAAACAAAGAAGCAATAAGATTAAGGAAACCAGAAGGGCACTGGATCCAGAATCAGGGAACCCAATACCAGGAAGATGAGAATTTATAGAAGGTGAAATAAATTTCCTTATCAATAATTGTATAGCAGGCTAAGTGCAAATCACCACAGACTGGAGGAAAAAAGAGTAGAGAACTCTGGAAAAGATGTTCCCATGGTGAAAAAGTAACAGATTACTTGATCTGCTGGAATATATTGAGAGAAGTTTAATTCTTCTGCTTGGAGTATAAGTAATGATAGGTTCATAGAAAACTAAGGAAATCTAAGGCTCATGGAAAACTAAAATCAAGACAATAGTTAACTTTAGGAAAAACAAAAAGGTGGACATGAAAAGCAATGTAATCATAATGTAATGCATTGTTCAAATATGAATAATATGTACATAGGCAAAATGATATAAATACTCAAATTATTTAACAAAAATTTGACATAAATATATTGATATGATAAGGGAGGAAATGTACATATTCATTTAGCTATTTTAACACCAAAAAAACTGAAGAAAATAATAACGTGTTATTTAGAATTAGGAAAGAAAATTTCATAAGAAACAACTAAAAGATTGGAGTGTTGAAAGTAGTTGCCCGTGGAGGGTGGAAGTCAGGGCTAGGAGTAGGTAGGGCAAGAAACCAGTATTTTTTTTTTTTTGCTGTTGTTGGAATACACTTTTTAGAACCATTTGACTTAATTTTTTTAGAATGAAAAATAAAGCAGGCAGGTTGAGTGTTTATATAACTTAGAAACAACTTTAAGCAGCAATTTTAAAGGTCCTTTAGCTAAAACTCATCCCAAATATCACCTTTACAAAAAATTACTTTTTAAATAAGTGATACTATGATTTAGATTATTTCTAATTATATACTACCAATATAATGCAAACTCATTTATATCTTTGAAAGTTTTTCCAGTCTTAAAGGTTTTATTTATTTTTTAGAGAGGGTAAGGGAGGGAGAAAGAGAGGCACAGAAACATCAATATGTGGTTGCCTCTTGCACATCTCCTACTAGGGAAATAGCCTGCAACCCAGGCATGTGCCCTGTCTGGATTCACACCTATGACTCTTTGATTCACAGGCCAGCATTCAACCACTGAGCCACATCAGCTAGGGCAGTTTTCCAGTCTTTTACAAGTTCCACATTCATTATTTCCAATTGGATTGTATATACCTTGAAAAGAATGGTCATCATTTATTATGTTATATCCATTCCTGGTGCCTCTTCAAACCAAACTGATGGCTAAAGAAAACCAAGTGTCTGTATAAGCTATAGGCATGAATACAAATGTTTAGTTCTGCAAAAGAAGTCAGAAACTAACTAGTTACTTTTAATTTTAGAAATGAACAAATAAACCCAAAGAAGTAAACTATAACTAGTTTCCATTTAAGAAATGTTTCTATATTTGCTGTCTGCTTTGATTTTTGCATCATTATTCTATTACTTTTTAATTATTAATAAATTATATAATACTCTACTTTTAAAAACCACATTTAAATTATATGTCAATTGTAATAGGAAAATTTTTAAATATTTTAAAAACATATATAAAAACTAAACCATAAAAAAACAGAAAGGGAAACACAATTCTATATATATCCAGCAATGTCTGCTCTGGTCAGGCAGAGGTACCATCCTGGTGTAAGAATTTCAAGCCTATAATAGAGAAAGCCAGCAAAAGATAAAATTTCAGTCTCCTTTGCTGTTGCTGATTGGATCTACAGTTAGTTATTTCTTCCCAGTTTTCCATCAGTATTTCCTGAAGCAGAGTAAGTTACAGCAATCCACCCCTAGATAGGTGATTTGATTATCTTCAGCATGTGGAATCTGTTACTCTCATAATGCTTATCAGCCCTGGCACAAATTGAACACATTAATCATGAAAAAAAGCAGTCTGCAAGAAGGATAGGAACTGGTGAGTTTCACTGATAACAGGAAAATGCTTTTTTCTTTTGGGCCACATTGCTAATATTAAGTTGAAAGGAGAAGACAGATATTTTTTGGAGCATAATATCTATAATAATGAATAAGAAAAAGGAATTCAAATGGATATTAGGAGAACTGAGAAGCAGCCACTCGATCCTCAGGGACAAATAGTATTTGGTAATTATTTATATTTGACTCTAATGAAAAGAATATTAGACTCCATTTGGGACATTTTTGAATGAGAAATTTAGGAGGGGGGTGAAAAATCTGAGCTGAAAGATTTTCATCTTCTCTCTTCCCAAATGAATATGGATTTGTGCCTTCAAATGGTTAATGCTTATTTCTATGCAGCTGGAAATGCTGCACAAATAGGATCCTTGGAATGTTTAAAGCAAACGTCTAACTAAGACGCCACAGAAAAAAGGGGCACAGTGGGGCAAGGAGGGAGGGGAACTGTCAGTAGCAAGTACTTAATTCCCTTGCCCAGCCTCCAGGGCTGGGCTCCACCCGTCTATCACAGGAAAAAAATCACGGAGGCTTGTCCCTTAGACAAAGTCATTCTTTTTTGTTACCTTGCTATTATGCCTGGCAGCTTGTTGTCCAAAAATTCCTGCATGCACTGGTGTTCCGTAGAATTGTTGAGAAACCTTCGAAAAGATTCAACATATCGGCTGTAATCTGAAACCAAGCTCCTCATGGAAGATGCCATATTTGATTTTCTGAGGAAGACAGGAAGGGAGGGAAAGTTTTAACTTCCTCTCTCGTCTTTTCCCAGTTCCTTTTTTCTCTCCCTACCCCCACCGACTTGTTTTCAAGAAAATAAAAAACCTTGCTTTGAAATGAATAGGCATGGAAAGGCTGGTGTGCAAAGCTCATCGTTACATAAGTGGGACTTTTGCGCTGATACTTGAACCACACGCAGTTGTTTTATAAGAACTGGAGGTAGTAAGCAAGGCAGTAAATTCACTGCTAAAACTTATTTTACTCCCAAAGTTCATAGAGTTGTAAAAACAAACTACAGCCTGATCACTTCCTGTTTTGTCAGCAGCTGCCTGCTACTAAGTTCCAAGTGGGAAAGTAGCTGCTTTCAGGGCCAAAGGTGACAAACACAGGAATAAATATGCCAGCTACAAAACTACAAAGCACTTCCTGAAATTTACAGCTGTTGAAATTTTTTAACATGGGATTACTGCCCTCACTCTCTTGCTTTCTGTGGAGAGTTTCATGCCTTCATGTCCCTCAACAGTTAACTTTAACCTCATCTGCTGCATGTCTTAACATACTGACTAATTTGTTGTGATTTAGGAAGTCTCTTCAGAATAAACAATCAGAGAAGAACCACAGAACTATTAGCTGCAAGGTCTCAATAGCCTATAGGGAAGAAATGAGGGACTGGGAGTGGAATCTGAGGACAAGAATTCAGGGAAGGAGGGTAACGGCTGAGTTCATTGTACAGCTTCACTAAATACTTCTGAAAGTGGAATCATAGGTTCTTAGGGTTGGATGAGCCTTTGGAGGTCCAGTAGTGTCACCCATCAAAAGATTCAGTGTTAGCGTATCCAAATGCCGAACCTTTTACCTAGGAAGTGGTCTTAAAGGAAGCTACCCTTTATCCAATGGAAGATTATTAATAATATTATACAATTCATGGAGGAGTTGTGAGAATTAAATGAGTTAATTTATGTACATCTCTTAGAAATGTGTCTGCATAAACCATTCTCTTTTCTGTTTCATTTCCAAAACGGCCCTCTAACATGCAGCATACTCCCCAACCCTCTTTTACAAGCATTTTATGGTCTCATTACTTTCAGAGCCATAGGTTTTTATCCTAGGGGGAAAATGGAAAATCTGGAAAACAGACTGATGTGTCTGTAGTTCCTGACTTGGCCACTAATGAACTATGTGACCTTGGCTAAAACATAAGTTTCAGTTTTCTCATCAGTGAAATAGGAACAATGCATTATATCTCATAGAGTTTTTGTGAGAACTACAGAGATATTTTTTATAGAATACTTAGCACGTTATTACCATTCCTGTAAGGTGCAGGCTGCTGCCTTCTTCAATCATAAAACAACAACAAAGTTGTTTTATTTATAGGTATCAAAAATTGATTTTCATATCATTTTCACATGTTTTGAAATATTATCACCCTCCTTTGGATTTCCTTCAATTATCTAAATATTAAACTTATTTTTAGCTCATGGGCTGCTAGTACAAAAACAGTTGCTGGGTTGGATTTGGACCATGGACCTTAATTGGCCAACTCGTAATTTAGCTCCTAGGCCTCCATATATTTATGCTTAAATATATGGGAGTTATGCTTAACTCCCAACTCTATCCACCCAGCCTCGTCTTCCTCACACTGACTCTGAGCCTTTGTGTTTTACTATCTTCCACACTTCTTTTTAGAACTTAGTTCAAATCATGTATTTATGAATTCTTTGACTGAACAAATATTTAGTAGGGGTCTAATGTGTGCTATTCTGCTGAGAAGAAATATCATTGATCTTATCTTCAAAGTTCCTACCTTTAACTAAAACCCAGTCTTCTCGTAAGTTCATCACCTGCCTCACTTGTCAAGTCTTCACTAAAAATGTGCTCTTCATATAAGTTTCATTAAGGATTTTCTCTCCATTCTCATTGCTTCCAGCCTACTTAAGACTCTTTTTTTTTTCATTTGCTGTGCTATTTTTCTTTTTCTTTTTTTTTTAAGAAAAATGTAGGGTTTAACACACCCTTTTAATTTGTTTTTAAATATTTTTAAAGTTTAAAAGTTTTTATTTACTTTTTACAATTAACTCCAGTAGAGCTTTATTCTGTTATGATCATTTCCTAGTTTTGTTCTATTTTTTTTTTCAGTTTTTTAAAGAAAGGTAACCAATTAATCTCAACTTCTTTGAATTTTTTATTGTTTTACTTTTTACTGAATTTATTGGGATAACCTTGGTTAATAAAGTAATATAGCTTTCAAGTGTAAAATTTTGTAATGCATCATCTGTATTATGTATTCACCACCCAAAGTCAAGTCTCTTTCTGTCACCATTTATACCCCGTTTATCCTCTTCTCCTTACCCCACCCCCTTTTCCTCTGGTAATACTGTTCATACTCTTGCCTGTGTCTGTGATGTGTTTTTTTCTTACTTCTTTACCTTATTCACCCAGCTTTGCAAACCCTCTCCCCTCAGACAGCTGCCAGTCTATTCTCTGTGAGTTTGTTTCTATTTTGTTTGTTTGTTTATTTTGTTCGTTAGATTCCACATATGCGTGAAATCACATGGTGGTTGTCTTTCTCTGACTGGTTTATTTCACTTAGCATAATACCTTCCAGGTCCACTCACACTGTCACAAAGGGTAAGATTTTCTTCTTTTTAATAATCAAGTAGTATTCCATTATGTAAAACTACAGGAGCTTTTTAATCCACTCATTTACTGATAGACATTTAGGCTGATTTCAAATCTTGCCTATTATAAATAACACTGGAATGAACATAGGGGTGCATATATATTCTTTCGAATCAGTGTTTCGGGTTTTTTCAGATGTATTCTGAAAAGTGGAATTGCTTGCTTACAAGGCAATTCCATTTTTAATTTTTTGAGGTAACTCCACAGAGTTTTACACAGTGGCTGCACCAATCTGCATTCCCACCAACAGCACACGAGGAGGTTTCCCTTTTTTCCACATCCACGCCAACACTTCTTGTTTGCTGAATTATGTCCATACAGATGATAGCCATTTTCATAAGAGCAAGGGGATATCTCATTGTGGTTTTAATTTGCATTTCTCTGAGGATTAGTGACATTGAACATCTTTTCATATGCTTTTGGCCAACTACATGTCTTCTTTGAGGAAATGTCTATTCAGGTCCTTTGTGCATTTTTTAATTGGATTATTTGTCTTTTCTGTGTTGGGTTTTATAAATTCTTTATAAATTTTGGATATGACCCCCTATTAGGTATACATGAGCAAATATGTTCTCCCATTCAAGGAGCTTTCTTTTCACTTTGTTAATGGTTTCCTTTGCTGTGCAAAATCTTCTTAGTTTGATCAAGTCCCATTCATTTATTTTTTCGTTTCCCTTGGCTGAGGACATATATCAGAAAAAAAAATTTTGCTAAGAGAAATGTCTGAGATTTTACTGCTTAGGTTTTTTTTCTATGATTTTTATGGTTTCAAGCCTTACATTTAAGTTTATAATCCATTTGCAGTTTATTCTTGTGTCTGTTGTTAAAACCGTCTTGTTTCATTTTTTTGCACATATCAGTCCAATTTTCCCAACACTATTTACCCTAAAAATCTGTCTTTGTCCTATTCTATGTTCTTACCTCCTTTGTCAAAATCAAATATAATTGACCATAAAGACACGGGTTTAATTCTGGGCTCTTTATTCCATTCCATTGATCTATATGTCTATTTTCATATCAGTATCATGTTGTTTTGAATACTATGGCCTTGTAGTGTAGTCTGATATCAGGCACTGTGATTCCTACAACAGCTGTGGCTATTCAGGGTCTTTTGTGGTTCCATATACATTTTTGGAATATTTGTTTCACTTCTGTGAAATATTCCTTTACTATCTTAATAGGAATTGCATTGAATCTATAGATTGCTTTGGGTAATATGGACATTTTAGTGATGTTAATTCCTCCCATTCATGAACATGGTAAATGCTTCCATTTATTTGTATCCTTCTATTTCTTTCTTCAGTGCCTTGCAATTTTCTGAGTACAGGCCTTTTTATCCTTGGTTAAATTTATTCCTAGGTATTTTATTTTACTATTTTTTAATGGTATGGTTTTCTCAGTTTCCCTTTCTTATAGTTCATTATTGATGTGTAAAAATGCAACTGATTTCTGGATATTTATGTTGTATTCTGCTACTTTACTGAATTCATTTACCAGTTTTGATAGTTTAGGGGTAGAATCTTTAGGCTTCTCAATATCTGGTATCATATCATTGGCAAATAATGACAATTTTACCTCCTCTTTTCCAATTTGGATGCATTTACTTTTTTCTTTTTGTCTGAGTTCCCTGGCTAGGTATTATGATTTCTCTGACTCAGTACTATGTTGAATAAGAGTGGTGAAACTGGCATCCTTGTCTTGTTCCTGATCTTAAGGGAAACACTTTTAGTTTTTGACTATTGATATGATGTTGGCTGTGGGCTTGTCATATCCAACTTTTATTATATTAACGTATATCCTTTCTATTCCTACTTTGTTGAGACTTTTTATCATAAATATGTGCTGGATTTTACTGCATACTTTTTCTGTATCTATTGATATGATAATGGGATTTTTTATCCTTCATTTAGTTTATCTGCTGTATCACGTTTATTGATTTGTGGATATTCTACCAACCTTGTATCCCCAGAATAAATCCCAATTAATCATGGTGTCTGATCTGTTCAGTGTATTGATGGATCTGGTTTGCTACTCTTTTGTTGAGGATTTTAACATCAATGTTCATCAGGGATATTATCACATACTTTAGTTTCTTTGTAGCATCTTTATCTGGTTTTGGAATTAGGATAATGCTGGCTTTGTAAAATGAATTTGGGAGTCTTCCTTTCTCTTGAATTTTTTGAATATTTTAAGAAGGAGAGGTGTTCTTTTTGGAATGTTTGGCAAAATTAACCTGTGAAGCCATCCAGTCTAGGACTTTTGTTTCTTGGGAGTTTTTGTTTGTTTGTTTCTTTGTTTTGTTACAGTGTCCATTTCATTATTTGAAATTGGTCTACTCAGATTCTCGGATTCTTCCTGATTAAGTTTTGGAAGATTGTATGATTCTAGGAATTTAGACATTTCATCGAGATTGTCCAATTTGTTGGCATATAGTTGTTTATAATATTTTCTTAAAATCCTTTATATTTCTTTGGTGTCAGTTATTACTTCTCTTTCATTTTGATTTTATTTATTTGGGTCTTCTCTTATTTTTTCTCC